AGTTATGTCTTAGGAGAGGTGTTCACAGATTTGAAGGTGCAAAGTCATTATATTGGTCTCCTTCTCCTAACTTTGTGGGACAAGTGGAAGGCTCCTGGTAATCTGTGTTTGGAATTTCAATAGGCCTGAAGTGAGGATTCCAGGAGAAGTAATACAAGATCTTAGATAAAATGGTAAATAAGTATTTGAGGATTTGCTATTGGTGAGGAGTACTGATGAATTGTAAGGGTGTTACCTGACTTTCCCAGGCCTGTTGTCAGTCTCAGAGATATGGAAGGTGGCACCATTTATGATATTTATATTTCATGTGTCTGCTAAAATTGAATTTATTAGCACACAATCTATTTGCTGAATTTAAAGAGAGTGAGTTATAAAATGATGCTTATAATAGAGATTCCCCACACCTGAAGACACTGGCAGGCTGAAAGAGAGAGCCTGAATGAAAACAATACATGAGTATGGAAACACTGAGACTGGGCAATTCTGCTTCCATTAGAAAACATAGACAACTTCTGTCCTAAGAATAACAGCCAATATCCTATGAGCAATGGGTAAACTCATCTAGAAGGCATGGGCATTGTCAGTACACATCATCAAAAATGGTTGAAACAATCAGATGAGGGAGTGTTTACAGTGGCTCTGGAAAGCAATGACTGTTTTGTTATCTTACAGTATAGTGTTTTTTATTGCCTTTTACTCACCAGAAAACTCATCCAGATGTATATATTAATATGTGGAAGTTCTTGTATATCCACTTTGATGGTTATTATTTGTTGTCAACATGACTAAAAGTCAAAAATAGAGAGCACACATGTTAGGGACTTCTGCTTTAAGTGGAAAGATGTACTCTTAATTTGGATCTTTGAGGTAGGAAGGCAAATTTTTAATCCACATTTTTAATTCCAATCTTACCTGGGCCATGTTTGCTGCTGGAAGCTTGCAGAGGACAAGAATGTAGGAAGATTTTCTTCTGCATTGCTTGCTTAGCTTGGTTATCTCAGAATAACCAGCCCAGGGGTGTCCCCATCCATAGTAGGTTAAGCCCTACTATTTCAGTCATTAATTAAGAATGTAGTTCATATGTTTTCTACAGGCTGATTTTGTGAAGATATTGTCTCAATTGAGGCCTCTTTGCTCTGATATCTCTACTTTGTGTCAAGTTGACATAGAACCTGCCAGGACATCCAATTTATATCCATATACTTTTATAAATTTGATTTACATTTTTCTAATTTTACTTTTACCTTTGGACAAGTCCATGCTGACAATGCATAGGAGAAGGACCATAGAGATGTGAGAGCTCGAAGCAGAGTTAAATGAGGGTGTCCTTGGAAGATTTCACAGTGCAAGCCTCCACAGAGAATCCATCACTGAGAAGCAGTGGGACAATGGGGTCAGAAAAACGAACATGGAAGTGCAAAAATATATCTTAAAATAAAGTGCCATTTTCCTTATCTACGAATTATCTGTGATTTCTGGGTCACATGACTGACATTGTATGTGTAATATTTTCTATGTTCTCTAAACTATTTCCCAGTATTTTAGCAAAACCATGTTCCCATACATGGAATAGGGATACCTTTATCTTCATACTTATAACGCTTGTTTTTATTTTCTTGTAACAAATGGCTGTCATAGTGCTGGTTATAGCCACCATATTATTTTGAATTCATTTACATTTTTCTGGAGATTAGTTAGTAGCTATATGCAAATTATTTTTCCCACATCATTGCCCTAGATTAAGTAGCCCAATCAGAGAATGGGGGGCAGAAAGATGTCCATCCATGAGGACATCACATCATAGTTCTCTGTTGCTTGATCTATGTGTTATCCTGTGAACTCATACCTCAAAGTAGGGACAGAAATGAGTTGTTATTGAGAAGAAAATAAGATTGATCTGGTGAGCCAATGTCTTTACCTATACTAGTGAATAGTGTTGTCTTAAGCACACTATTTATCAAACAAAGAGAGCATTTTGCTTTTGAAATATTAACAATTGAATGAAGGTACTACTCATATATATGACACAAGAACCCCTCCTTTGACTAATTCCTAGCACTGAATGAGCAATTTTTATACAATCTTATATTTTTAATTATGTGTATATGTACTTGTGTGGGCTGTGTAGTATGCGTGGACGATAAATATACTGGGTCTTCTGGACTTACAAAGGTACACAAGATCCTCATTGTGAGGTTTAAGAGCTGAGCCTGGATCCCTTTCCTAGAGTAATGTGGTCTCTTAACCACTGAGCTGTTTCTACAGCACCTGGAGGGACAATCATCACTTTCCCTCTCATTTTTGCTGTAGCTGTGTTAATAAATGCCTAAATACCACATCAATCTGAATACACCTGGAGGACATTTTATCAATGACAACCAGGATCCAAGAGAATAAAACAAAATCTTGTCAATTGGAACCCAAACATCTGATCTGAGGTAAAGTAAAATAGGGCAGGCTGATTCAGTGAAGTAGGAGAGCTGAAAGACTTTCTAGACCTGGCTGTCTTAAGCACTGCCTGACTTCTCAACCAAGACTCTTCAGTCAAGCTTCGGCCAGTGTTCTTTTACTGTGTAGTTGGGACTTGTAATGTAGTGCAGAGTGCCAAGAGTTCTCTTCTGATGTTAGGCCTTGATTGCCAATATGTCTATTGATCATGTATGTGTGGGTGCGTGTGTGTTATTGGGGTGCTGAGGAGGAGGGAGAGATGGGCTTGGGATTTGGGCAGTGTAGGGATGCTGACAACCTCTGAGATCATCTCTGCTGCACTCATACCTGCTTCTGCATGTTGGTTGACACTGTTGCCCCTGCCTCGAGTTGGAGTTTTATAAGCCAAAGTTTTCTCCGTGTATTGTTAATCTTTTCATTCATCCACATTGTGCCTTGTCAGCCTTTGAAAGTCTTAGTTGCTCCCAGGCTACTATTCTCAGGGACCTAGTTGGTCTTGTGACAGAGTGTGTCTTCTGGGGCACACTCTTCTAAGAATGGCCTTGTCTTCGTTTTTCATTAGCAAATGCTGCTTGCAGATGTTCAGTAAGACCTTCTAAATGGAATGTTTGTTTACTGGTTCAGGCAAGGGACTTGCCATGAGACCAGGAGACCACACTTGGTGGGCCAATCATGTCCTTCACTACAGTGCCTTAAATTCTTCCTTAGACGGACCCTCTGAGGCCTTGCTCAGGCGTTGGGTTCTGTGGGTTGGGCAGCCTGTCTGGGCCCTTACTCAGGACCCACAATGTCATCTTCATTCTTTCTGTTCACAAACATCTCAGAGCTCTTTCATTGTGACCCTGTGTTTGTCATTGTAAATCACAGCTAAGGGGCCAGCCCTGTGGCCCTCACAATCCAAGGTGGAGAGCTGTGATGCAGGTAGAGAGCCATGTGGTGATTAAGTACAGAACATCATTGAATAAATACTTTTGTGTCCAAAAAAATTTTTTTTGCTAACAGTAAGAACAATTTTGCTAGCATTGATTGTTGAAATAGCTTGGCATCCCACTGAATTTAATATATTTACTAGATTCAGTCACTGTAAAAGATGAAGACAGAACCAAAGTTTATTGCTGGGAACATCAGTTATACTGGCTTCACAGAACAGAAGATTTTCACATCACATGGCCATATCCAACACAGCTCATCCAAATACAGGATCCCAGAATCTACCCAGAAGAAGGTCTAATTTAATTACTGAAGTCTGGTCTTGATCTTAGAATTTGCATTTCTAATGAGTTTTGTATGATACTGTATCAGTAGTTTTATGTCACTATAACAAAGTACCTGAGCTGATTAACTTGAAAAAGTAAAGGTTAACTTGGGCTAATAGTTTTGAGGTTCATGTCCATGATCTGTTTCTTTATAGCTTAGGGAACATGGCAAGACAGGTATTAAGGCAGAAGCTTTCCATGACTTAGTAAAGATGAAAATGAAAGCTTATAGGATCTAAGATTTTAGTCTATCATGGAGTGCCAGTTCCTAATATTGGGAGTACAGAGCACAAATGTTCATAAAGTGGTGGACCAGCGAGAAGAAAGGGACTAGAAATGGGGGTCAGCCTATAAGATTTATAACTGTGGTGCTAAGGACATTCTCCAGTAGTCAGGCCAACTACTAAAGGTCCCACAGCTTTCCACAAAGCATCCCCAACTGAATTACTAGCACCTGGCTTGAGCCCCACAATGATCTGAAACGAAACATTCTCCAGGCACACATCCTAAACAACTACCTTAGGGAACAAACCTGTAGCACATGGGCCTTTGGAAGGATATTTAAGATACAAAGTACAATAGTCATGATGAACAGATCAGATCACATGATAAGATGCTATTGTCTATGAAAATAATGATACCATTTAAACATGTGTTTCTAAATATAATAAAATGACACTTAGAAACTGAAAAAGAAAATAGGGCAGGCTGATCATAGATTGGACAGTGTAGAATAATAAGACTAATGAGTTAGAGGGGAAGGATTATTTCAATAATAATATGTATGGATGTTGGCCACAGTTAATAACAGCATAGTATATTCTTCATTTATGGATAGTAGATCTTATGAGTTAGCACTCAGCAGAATAACTGTGAAATCATTAAATTGTGGACATGTGTTTGAAAAACTTCCTGTTAGAGAAGATGAATACAGTTAATTTTAAACATCAATTAAGTAAACAGTAGAAATGTTACTAAATCTGATGTAGTGAGAGAAACATTCTAATACCAAACCTCTCTGGCTGTCCTCAACTACACAGTGCTCCACTGAGTATTCTTGATGAATATCAAGTCAATATTTTGTTCTCATTGTATAGTGTTATAAAACTATTTAAAAATTCTTCTAGTGTGTGAACAGACCAGAAATTTAATAGAATATGACAATGAAGAGCAGATTCAAAAGCATTTTCATAGCTAAAAAAAAGCCCATATCTTTAACATTAAAACAGAAGCCCACACTGAATGTGCCAGAAATTCCTAGATTCTGAAGTGATCCTGGGAAGAACTTGTTGGTCTTCAGCGCCCCCTGCTGGTCCTGAACACCTTGTAAGGAGGGTTTTGTGCCAGCTCAAAATGGACTTCTATCACTGTGTTTCTGGCACAGTAGTACATGGCTGTGTCTTCAGTTTGCATATTGTTCATTTTTAAGAAAACTTGGCTCTTGGAGGTATCCCTGGTGATGCTCAGTCTGGATTTGAGAGCTGAATTATAATCTGTTCCTCCACCACGCCACATAGCTCCCATCCACTCCAGACCCTTTCCTGGAGGCTGGCGAACCCAGTGTACATTATAGCTAGTTAATGAGAATCCAGAGACAGTGCAGGTGAGAGACAGGGTCTGTGAGGGCTGCACCAGGTCAAGACCTGACTCCTTCAGCTGCACCTGGGACAGGATACCTGGGGAAAAGCAACATCACCGTTAGCCATACGTCCTATAAATTAAATACTCAAGTCCCTCTCCTGAAACTCTGAACCACTTACAGCTTGGAAAGGTCACCAGGAAGAGGAGCAACACCAGTCCAGCCATGCTCTAAAGGAGGCTCTAGAGAGGAGATGAGGCTTCTCAGCTAGGCCTGAGCTTTCATCCTGAGCCTGAGGGCTACTTTGCATTTGGGGGAGGTTCTTGATAGGATAAAAGGAAGCACAGGGCAAGATTTCCAGTTTCCTCTTCATATACCTGCGATTATGTTTGTAATTCTTAGAAAAAAAAAATAGAGGTGAATACTCAGAAACTTTCATCTGGTCATGTCCGGATTTCCAATTCCTTCCCATATTGCTTTAGGTCATGGTCTTCATTATATCAAAAAATAACAAACTAGAATAATTGAAATTCTTCTGATGAAAGGATAGGTGTAGGGAATATGACAGTCTGTACAATTGCAGCCACAGTGATACAGTCATATTTACAGATACAGGCACACATTCCAATAAATACACAAACACATGCACGTGCACGCTCACATGCATACGCACATGCTTGCACACACGCACACACATGCATGGACAGACACATACCATCACATTCACAGACAAAAATATCTATTGATAGGCAGAGGGCTGGATTTCTAAAGTCCTTACTTTGGTCAGGGTCATTCTTGTTGGGCTGGACCCACTATATAGACCAAGTTGGCATTAAACTATCAAAAGATTGATTGTTCTGCCAATTGCTCCCTAGTGACTGAATTAAAGGTGTGCTCCACTATTCATAATGATCACATGCAGGTGATTTAAAAAATAATTTTGAAAATAAATAAAATTTATATAAATAAATTAAATAATTTAAGCATATCCTTTCTCTTTTTTAAAATCATTCCATTAGTTTATGTCTCAAATTATATCCCATTTTTCAGTTACCCCTTGACCAACTCCCTCATTCCACATCCACTCTCCCTCTTTCCCTTTGCCTGTATGAGGGTGCCCCCTATCTACCCACCCTCTCCTGCCCTACCACTCCAGCATCCCCCTACCCTGTGGCATCAATCTGCCCTGGGACCAAGGGCCTCCCCTCCCATTGCTGTCAGGTAAAGCCATACTCTGCAACATATGTAACTGGAGCCATGGATCCCTCCAGGTACACTCCTTGGTTCATGGTCTAGTCTCTGGGAGAACTGGGTAGTCAGAACAGCCTGTGTTGTTCTTCTAATGGGGTTGGAATCCCCCTGTTCCTTTAGTTTTTCTACCAGCTCCTTCACCAGGTTTCCTGAGCTCAGTCTAATGGTTGGGTCTAAACACCCACAGCTGCATTGTTCAGTTGCTAGCTGGACCTCACAAGGAACCACCATACCAGGTTCCTGTCAGGAAGCACCTCTTGACCACAGAAACAGTGTCAGTTTTGGTGACTGCAGACATAATGGATTCCCAGGTGGGCAGTCCCCGGATGGCTCTTCTTTCAGTCTCTGTTCCATGTTTTTTGTCCCTGGTCTTCCTTTGGACAGGAACATTTCTGGGTAAAAAACTTTTAGATGTGTGAGTAGCTCCAACCCTCCACTGAGGACCATGCCTATTTACTGGAGGTGGTCTCTACAGCTTCTATGTCCCCCTTCTCTGCACATTTTGTCTAAAGTCACTCCCATTGGATCCTGGGAGACACACATTTCCCTAGTGTCTGGGACACTCCAGTGGCTATTGTTACTGCTGCATATTTTGCTCAATTTCCTGACCCTCTGTACCTCTCTTACATCTCCTCCAGTTCTTGATACTACCCCCCTTATTTCCTCCTCCTCTCTCCCCCCCATATTCCCCTCTCCCTCCACCTCCTGGGGCTGTTTAGATGGTTTATCTGATCCTGATTTAATTTTGGTACCTGGTATCTGTCTAAGAAATTATCCATTTAATCCAAGTTTTCCAGTTTTGTTGACTATAGACTTTTGTAATAAGATCTGATTATTTTTTTTAATTTCTTCAGTTTCTGTTGCTATGTCTCCCCTTTATTTTCTGATTTTTGTTAATTTGATTTTGTTAATTTTGTTAATTTGTTAATTTCTTTTTCTGTGCCCTCTGGTTATTCTAGCTAAAGGTTTATCTATCTTGCTGATTTTCAAAAAAAAAAAACCAGCTCTTGGTTTTATTAATTTATTGTATAGCTTTGTTTCTACTTGGTTGATTTCAGCCCTGAATTTAATGATTTCTTCCTGTCTATGCCTCTTGGGTGTATTTACTTATTTTTTTCTAAAGCTTTCAGATGCTCTCTTAATCTGCTAGTGTATGATTTCTCAAATTTCTTTAAGGAAATACTCAGGTCTAGAGGTTTTCCTCTTAGCACTGCTTTCATTGTTTTCCATGAAAGTTGGGTATGGGTTGTGTGAGTTTAGATCCAGAGCTGAGGCTCTGCTCCTGTCATAGGTGGAAACCAAAAGAGTACAGGTCTTTGGATGGGCTTAAACATATTTTTTCATACAATATATTCTGATCATTATCCTTTTCTTTCCTTATTCATTCCCAGTTGTTTCCTCTCCCCAGACTTACTCAATTGCTCAAACTACAGTGTTTTATGGACATTTAAGGGATTTGCTTCATAGCATTCATTCATATAGACAATGAGTGATTTAAAAGTAATCTGTAATTTCCATTGCATTTTCACTTTTAAAAATAATTATATAATGTATATATTTATGTTATAGATTACAATAATTTTTATCATAAGTGTGTACAATGTGCAGTGATAAAATCCAGTGCTGAGGAGATTGCTTGGGTATATAATGCTTGCCTCCTAGAAGGAGTATCTGTTTGATCTTTACCACATAGATAAGAATCTGAGTGGGCTTCCATAGTTATGTGCAAACCTATACATATACACACTCAGTCTGGACAATTAGCATTCCCATTCATTGAAACACTGTCATTTCCTGCATTGGACTCATAGTTTGTAGTTATTTAGAAAAATGTCACAGATGCACAGATGATAGCTGAGCTCTTTGTTATGAAACTCAGGATCTGAACTCTTGTGACTCACCCTAAACTTCTTTCCTCTACACTACCATCTATCTGTGCCTTTTAATCTAGGGACTGCCATTCTACATTCAGCCATAAAACTGCCTCATCTGAATATGAGAAATAATGCTTCTCTGTACAAAAATTTATGTAAGTTTGTTTTGTTTTTTAGTGATTTGGGTTCTTGAATGTAAGACCATGCACATGGTAGGATAGCAGTCTATAGCAAAGCTTTATGTCTAGCCCTCTTATCTTTTATAATATCACCCTTTCCTATATAATGTTGTGGTGACATAAGTTTGGTTTATTCAAACCTAAGATAAACACCAGTAACCTCAAGTTCCTCTCCCTAGACATTTAGCACTCAGGAGTGATTGTAACAGCCAGAGAAAAGAGAAGTATAAAGGATCAATGTTCTGATTGTTAATATCAAGAAGGTAGAAATAGGAAGAAAAATTAAACCAAATCAAGTACAGAAACACACACACACACATACACACACACATTCTAGGGGATGGAGGCCCAACCCTGAAGTCAAGTTCTTCCTCTAAGCCCCACGGGCACATGACCCCTGAGCTGGGCTCTGACCAGAAGATGCTGTGCTAAACTCGGTAATGTAAACTATCTTTATATTGTGAGAAAATATTTATCTCCCAAGCAAACATACAAACACCCAGGCTAGCACTCAGATAGATAGACATGTAAAAACAGAGACAAATCTACCCAAAGATACAAATGCAAGGACATACATATATATGTATATTAACATGATATGTTATTCAAAAATTTTCTTCAATCTATGCCACCTAGTATACTTAAGAACAATATTATGGTTGTTTATCATATGCTGTGATTATATTGATTAATCTCTTTTACCCTCTCTTTTCTTATGCTCAGTCCTAATAAGCCTTCTGGCCCCTCCTTTTCTTATATCTCTTCTTCTCTTCCCTTTCCCCTTTCCTCCTTTTTTGCCTTACTTTCTGCTTCTCCTATCTACTCACCGTCATGAGATTGCTAGATCACATGGTATTCTGTGTGTTATTCTCTGAGGGACCTCTACAATATTTGCCAGTGTGATAGGAGAACAACATTCCCATGGACACAGCACAGGGCTCCCCTTCTCTTCATCCCCACAGCACTTGCTACCATTCTTTTTTTTTTTTTTTTTTGTCAAATGGCACTTATACCATTGATTACAGGCAACTTATCCTTTTGGCATTGATATCCATTTTTCTGGTGAGTAGAGGTTTTAGCTTTATGCAACCTATTCTGTCCAGATGCATTGGCTAATATAAAGGATCCCAAATAGAGGATGGTCATGAGGACATAGACACTCAACTGCATTTTCCCTGAGTAATATGTTACTCTGCTGAATCAAATCTCAGAGAAGTGACAGAAATGAGTTGTTTTGAGAAGAAATATGAGACTTATCTTTTGAATGAGACAAACAGTAAATAGTAATTTTTCAAAAGCAGTATTTATTGATGAAAATGAGTGATGTATTTTTGCAGTATTTCCATTTGAATTAAAGTCTCACATATACTATACAAAAAAAAAGCTCTATCATTAGCTAACTCCCAGCACTGAATGAGGTATTTTTAAGTAAATATTTCATTTTAAATTATGTATTTATTTTCATTTTATGCTCAAGAGCACAAAGGGCCCTGTGTCCTCTGGATTAATGTGTTTTTGAACTACTTTGTGTTTAGGTTTTACTATCTCCAGTTTCTTTTGCTTCTTCTGGAACAGATGCTGGTAACTACACAGAATCACTATTGTCCTATGTGATGATCTGTATTTGTTTATGTCAGAGCACATTTCAATTTTAAAATCAACTATACTGGGTCTGTGAAACTATTTCTATGGTTCAAGTTCTTGCCATATAAGAACCATTTGGGTGGGATCTATCCTCTGAACTTAGTTTTCCAAGACAACAAAAGATGTGGCAGCCCAACTAATTATGCTATCCATGGCATGTAAGGACAGAATAGTCCCTGGAGCTTGCTGTCCAACTAGTTTACCCAGGAGGTGAGTTCCAGATCCGATGATAGAAATTGTCTTTAAAAAATGTGGGGCAGATTGATAGAGGAGGGTGCTGGGGTCCTGCCCTGAGGGCCACGTATTAGGTGAGACA